GTCCAAAATGACCGAAGGCTCAAACCAAACACAGGAAGTCAGTCCTGCAGTCAGTGCTGGGTCGCCCCACTGAATGCTGAGGGGACTGCAGATCAGGCCCGGAAAGAGGCCTGGAGAGAGAAGAAGGGTCTGATCTGCAGCCTCCATGGCAGCTATTGATTAGCCCTTGCCACTCTTTCTCTCTGGGCCTCGCCAGCAGCCGCAGGTGCTGCTGATCAGCCATGACTCTCTGATCAGGCCCAGAGATAGGCCCAGAGATGCTGACTGGCATAGAAACCGACCAATCAGAACCAAATCTGGGTGAACTGTGAGAAGCCAATGGCTGCCAGGAGGCAGAGCTTTTGATGCTGACTGGCATAGAAACTGACCATTCAGAACCAAATCTGGGTGAACTGCGAGGAGCCAATGGCAGCCTAGGAGGTGAAGCTATTGATGCTGACTGGCATAGAAACCGATGAATCAGAACCAAATCTGGGTGAACTACAAAGCCTGAACCTAAGGTGGGGCCTGAGGAGGGGTTTTAAGGGCAACAGCTGTTTGGTGTAAGTTATAAGAAAGCAGTTCAATTTTTTAATGACCAGTTTGGCAGTGTAGTGCATATGGCTGGCTATCAGTCAGATATAGGGGTTATGTATTTTTGTCTGCCAAGAGCATCTCCTCCTGCTGAAAAAGGCTCCCCCCATTTAAGCAATCCTATCCTATATAATCTATGTATACTACTAAAAGGGTAATATGGTAATTAGACCAAGTCGACCGGCCATCTTCCGGACGTCCGACTTCCTTCCAGACAAAGCCATGGTGGTGGGAGCCAAGGCAGAGGCAGTTAGGGGTGATCAGGCCAGCAGGGGAGGGCAGTTGGGGTCAAGATCAGGCTGGCAGGGGAGGGAAGTTGGGGGCGAGATCAGGCCAGCAGGGATCGTGCCTAAACCAGCAGTTGGACATCCCCTAAGGGGTCCTCAATTGTAGAGGGTGCAGGCTGTGCTGAGGGAATTCCCCCCCTCCATGCACAAATTTCGCACACCGGGCCACTAGTGTATATATAGTTTTATAAGGCATAAAACTACTAACAACTAAAAAAAACTCATTAATTGCTATCTCTTTCATTTGGGAAAATATAAAGAAATAAAATCTTGGAGGCTCTTTAACTGGTTTTAGGTATGCATTGAATAACTAGACATCGCAGAGTTAGAGGCAGTTTCATGCATTTCAATTCTGTCATAGAAATAAAAGCACATATTCTTAGAAACACAAATGGGGGATGGTGCATGGAAAATGAGCTGGCTATACTGTGTCAGACTGCTGGTTGCTAATGTAATATCCACTCTGCTTTTCTCCCTTAGTTAAAAATCCTCAATTTTATTTGGGGTGATAATAGACTGAGCCAAAAATTTTATTTTCCATCCTTTTGCGTTGTTAGGTTTGGCCAGATGACTAAGACCTGCTGAGTGAGACACAGGTGAAGTTGTTGAGAGAAAATTTCAGAAAATCTCCTCTAAATGGAAACAGCTGGTAAATGCTCCTTTTGCATTTTCTACCTCTCCTTGATTTTTAACCTTTAATTTGATGAAATTACTAGAAGTGAAGCAGGCATCTTGGATTATGAGCCAACCTGGAGAATAGAAGGCATTTGCTAAGGATAGCGTAGCAAAAAATGAGGAGGACACTATATTCCTGATGATTATGAATCCCCATGACAGTGCCGCACTGAATATTTTTAGACAATTTTACGAAAGAGAAAGATAAACTTGTAGTTCTTTTAAGTCACTATGATTTAAAGTCACTGTTATGAGCAGCCGCCTGCAATTCCTACAAGATAAACGGATTCACATTATACTGACTTGTCCTTGGAAGCCAAGAATATTCTGGCAAACCATTTTAAGGTACCTAAAATATGCACTTTTGGCTTTCTTCCCCAGCCGCTCCTGCCATTGTCCAGTGGGCTCATGAACAAGGTGGCTATGGTAGCAGGAATGGAGGTTACGCATAAACTCGGCAACAAGGAATTCCACCCACCAAGGCTGATCTGGTCACAACCACTGCTGAGTGCCCCACTTGTAAGCAGTAGAAACCACTGACTCCCCAATATGGCACCATCCCCATGTTTTTAAATTTATTGTGGCCCACCAGCATGTCTCTTGAGCCACACCAATTGAAAATCACTGTCTTAGAGCATTTTTCATAACTTTTCACTCTTCATCGAAGAGCCTAGCATAAAAAATGTTTAGGCTTAACTGTTTCTTTGAGTCTTTATTTCCTAATGAAGGCTCCCATGTGACATAAAACTGATATTAAATAAATTTGTAGGCTTCCCTCTTATTAATCTGTCTTTTGTTACAGGAGCCCCAGCCAAGAACTCAGAAGGGTAGAGGGAAAACTATTTTTCCTCCTGTAAAGCCCTATAGCAGGGGTGGGCAAACTTTTTGACTCGAGGGCCACAATGGGTTCTTAAACTGGACCGGAGGGCCGGAACAAAAGCATGGATGGAGTGTTTGTGTGAACTAATATAAATTCAAAGTAAACATCATTACATAAAAGGGTACGGTCTTTTTTTTTTTTTTTAGTTTTATTCATTTCAAACGGGCCGGATCCAGCCCGAGGGCCGTAGTTTGCCCATGGCTGCCCTATAGGGTGCACTGCTCCAGACGTAACAAATTAAAAAATCAAGGCATGAAGGATCAAGTGTTTCCAAATAGGAAAATAGTACAGCCATTCTGGAAAATAGTTTGGTATTTTCTTATAAAGTTAAACATGTATCTATCATATGACTCAGCAACCCCACGGCTAGGTAGTTATCTTAGAGAAATAAAAACTCAGAGTCATATAAAAACGTGTTCTTAAATGTTCGCGGCAGTTCTACTCATCATTTTTAAAAACTAAAAATAACCCAAATGTCTATCAGCAGCTTAAAATATAAAACTCTGGTATATTCATACAATAGAATACCACTCAACTACAAAAAGGAATAAATTATTGATACATGTCATTACATGGATGAATCTAAAGACATTATATTGTGTTTAAAAAAAAGTCAATCTCAAAAGATTATATGCTATTTGATCCCATTAATATGACATTTGGACAAGGGAAAATTATAGGGATAGAAAACAGATCAGTGGATACCAGCAATTAGCAGTGAAAGGAGGGTGTAACGATGAGGGAGATTTTTGGGTGATGAAACAGTTTTCTATCCTGATTATGGTGGTTGTTATACATGTGTTTAAACTCATAGAATAGCCCAGCCATGTGTGGCTCCGTGGTTGAACTTCGACCCAGGAACCAAGAGAACCAAGAGGTCACTGGTTCTATTCCAGGTCAGGGCACATGCTTGGGTTGCATGCTTAATCCCCAGTAGGGGGCGTGCAGGAGGCAGCCAATCAATGAGTCTCTCTCATCATTGATGTTTTTATCTCTCTCTCCCTCTCCCTTCCTCTTTGAAATCAATGAAAATATATTTTAAAAATAATAAACACAAAGAATATAATACATATACACACACATACACAACACAATGAGATACCATCACAATGGCTAAAATGCATAAGAATGACAATACCAAGTATTGGCAATGATGTGCAGCAACTACATTATTCATATACTAGTGGTGGGGTTTTTGTGAAATCACTTTGAGTAACTGTGCAGCACCATTTACTGCATTTGAACATATACGTGTCCTAATAACTGGCACTTCCACTCCTTCAAATATAGAGAACACAAATTCATACATATGTTCACACACATAGAAGTATAATAATGTTCATAGTTCAAAAATAAAAATCCCTCAAATGTCCATCAACAAAAAATGGATCATAATCTGTGGTAATTACTATAATAAAATAGAATATAGCAAAGAAAATTAATAAACTAATCTACATCTAAAAACACAGATATCTTGAGCAAAAACCAGACAAACACATATAAATATCTACTTATGACTTCCTTTTTAGAATTCACAAAAAGAGACAGATATAATGTATTTGTAGATCAGGATA